CAGCGCCGGCGCCAGCGCGTGGCGATGACGTTACCGGAAGCCAAGACGATAGAGACGCACCGCCTCGTCTGCACCCGCTGGCGGACAGGAGAGCGGCCGGCGAGGTGAGCAGCTGGCGCGGGCCGCTGGTGGCAGGCGGCGCAGCCCACGCCTGAAACCCGGACCTGAGCACAGAGGATTTGAGTCCCGCCCCCGCCTCTCGCGACGCCGCACCCGCGCTCTGAGCGCCCGTGGTGCGCCAGGCCCAGAGCGAGGCGGCCCTCTTGGAGCCCCCAGTCCAGGCAGCAGACGAACCGGACGATGAGTGCCGAGCTCGACAACGAAGTAAAGTGAAGGAAGAACCTAGCGAGGGACGCGAGACGAAGATGGCGGACTGCCTGGGAGGGAATGGAGTTGGCGGGGAGCGGTAGGGAACCTCTGGGGATGGGGGAGTGAGATGGGAGAGCGAGGAAGAAGGGAGTGGGGACAGAAAGAGGTAGGACCAGGTAGCCTGGGTGTTCGGGCCTCAGGGTCCAATCCTCAGTCCAGCCCCTGCTTGTCTCCACACAGGGCCCAGGGCCAGTGGAGGGCTGCGGCCAGGAGAGCAACAATGCCCCCCAAGAGAAGAAGGAGGAAGAGAGGGTTGGGGAGGCTGCAGAGTCAGAGCCTCAGCCTGGGCTCTACAACTACATCAGGGACGACTTGTTCACTTCGGAGATCTTCAAGTTGGAGCTGCAGAACGTGCCACGCCACGCCAGTTTCAGCGATGTCCGGAGGTTTCTGGGTCGCTTTGGTCTGCAGCCCCATAAGACCAAACTTTTCGGGCAACCTCCCTGCGCCTTTGTGACATTCCGCAGTGCCGCTGAGCGTGACAAGGCCTTGCGTGTGCTGCATGGTGCCCTCTGGAAGGGCCGTCCTCTTAGCGTGCGCCTGGCAAGGCCCAAGGTTGATCCCATGGCCAAGAAGAGGCGGCGTGAGGATGAGAGTGAGCCGCCAGCCACGTGCGTGAATGATGTAGTGACCCCTCTTTGGACTGTGCCCTATGCTGAGCAGCTTGAACGGAAGCGGCTGGAGTGCGAGCAGGTGCTGCAGAAGCTCGCCAAGTGAGTATGGGCACAGTCACTCCCTTGGTGTTGGAGTTCTGCCCAGCTCTGTGTTTGCTCAGCCCACCCTGTGCACTGTACAGACACCCTCAGGGTCTGCGTGGTCTCTTGGGGAGCTAAGCACTAAGACCTCTGTGTTATCAATGGGGATAATGAGGTCCCAAGGGAGGAGCTGGGGTGCCTGGGCTTTGCATAGTGGCTGAATATGGGTTGGGGACAGCAGGCTGAGTCCAACCCCGGCCCCACCCAATCCTGCAGGGAAATTGGGAACACCAATCGCGCCCTGCTTCCCTGGCTACTCTCGCAGAAGCACAAGCACAACAAGGCCTGCTGCCCGCTGGACGGGGTCAGGCCGTCACCCCAGCAGGTCAGGCCTACAATCTTTCACCCTACGCTCTTTAAGAAGCTGTTCCTGCCCTTTCCCATCCCTCTTCCTGTTTTATACTTAACTTTTCTTACTCATCACATAACAACTAGTTGTCAGCCTTGTCCCGTGGACTGCCAGATCTTATGGGGGAGCTGGAGCCTCTCATTGCCATCTCTAACTTTGGTGTTCCCTCAGTGCACTCGTGTGGAACTGCCACGGTAAGGTCAGCTGTGTCTCTGCCTCCCTCCATCTGCCCTGCAGACCGAGTATCGAAACAAGTGTGAGTTTCTGGTCGGCGTTGGGGTAGACGGGAAGGACAACACTGTTGGCTGCCGGCTAGGCAAATACAAGGGGGGTACATGTGCTGTGGCGGCTCCCTTTGACACCGTGCACATCCCCAAGGCTACCAAGCAGGTGGTGAAAACATTCCAGGAGTTCATCCGGTGAGGACTTGTGGCTGGCACTTTGGGATGTCCTAAGGTAGTGAGAGCAGAGGGCCTGGTCCTGCCTGGTGGGTGTGGCTGGAGGAGAGATCAGGGAGGCTGCTCACCCAGTTCTGGTCAGCATTTGTCGGGAACTCAGGCCTGCTTGTGGCTCCCACAGGTCTACTCCATACTCTGCATATGACCCAGAGACATACTCGGGCCACTGGAAGCAGTTGACAGTGCGCACCAGCCGCCGAGGCCAAGCCATGGCCATTGCCTACTTCCATCCTCAGGTCTCAGGCAGCGTGACCCAGTTGGGGGGAGGGTGTCCCTGCTGGAGTGGGCTACATGCATCAGAACCTTAAAGGGCTTTTTCTACTGCCTTCTCCAGAAACTGAGCCCTGAGGAGCTGACGGAGCTGAAGGCCTCCTTGGCACAGTACTTCATAGCAGGGCCGGGCAAGGCCAGTGGGGTGACCTGCCTCTACTTCGTGAAGGAGGGACAGCGGTGAGGAACTATGGGGAGGGGGGGTGGGTTCCTGCAAGGGTTGGTGACACTGACCAACTGGCCCCACCACCCACAGAAAGGCTCCCAGCCAAGAGGGCCTGCCCCTGGAGCACGTGGCTGGGGACCGGTACATCCATGAGGATCTGCTGGGGTTGACCTTCCAGATCTCCCCTCATGCCTTCTTCCAGGTAGTCCAGAGTCCCTGGGGATCTTGAAGACACACGAAGGGGAGTCCTGACGTGACGTCAGGCTGTAATTGGGGCAGTCAGCAAGGGTGGCAGTAAGTTGTTAAGGGCATCTAGGCAAGGAGCTGCAACGGCTATGAGGTAGGAAAGAAGTCACTTGCACTAGCTAGACCCTTGTGACAGTTCTGCTGAGTGATATGTGGGAGTGGGAGTCAGGGTGACACCAGGGCTCTGGTGTTAGTTTTGTTGGAATCTAGCTCTGTTGGAATCTTCTATGCTTGATGTTGCTGTTGGGGTCCCACACATCTGGCACTGAGTGTGTCAGCATCAGAGTGCTTTTTAAAGCCAGGGTCCTGGGTGAGGCCACCCAGCATCTTAAGGATGGAGGGGCAGTTGAAAACTAGCCCTGGGGCACTTAGGCAGTTAGAGGTGGGGAAGGGATGGAAGCAGGAGCCCTAGAAAGAGGGTGAGTGCGCCTGGGATTGGGCCACAGGTCTCCTAGCAGGGAGAGAGCCCTGGGGAGTGCAGGCACTTGCTGGGGGCTGCAGGAGGGTAGGCTGACCTGGGCAGTGGGGGGCTGCTCTGACATCCTGGGTGGTGCCGGCTTACCTACCAGGTGAATAGCCCAGCGGCTGAGGAGCTCTACACAGTCATCCAAGACTGGGCCCAGCTGGACTCTGAGAGCACAGTGCTGGATGTGTGCTGTGGCACAGGCACCATTGGCCTGGCCTTAGCCCGGGTAAGCTCTCCTGCCTCAAGTTAAGGATGCCCTCTCCCTACCTCACCCTTGTGCTGTTACTTCATGACCCCTGGTGACCCCCACTCTGCCCCAGATCCTCTTTTCCCCACAATGCCTACTGCTACTCCCCTTCCCAAGAAGCCTCCACGGTGGGGCAAGGTACCATCAGTCTGTGCCCTTTCCCTCACTTCAGAAGGTGAAGAGAGTCGTGGGGATTGAGCTGTGCCAGGAAGCCGTGGAGGATGCCCGGGTAAACGCCTGCAACAATGGTGAGAGCCACATGGCAGGCAGTCACCCGTCTCGTATACCTCAGGGTAACACCTGGAACTCACTACATGGCTTCTATGACCAAGGGCTAGAGTGGGGCAGTCTGTGCAGAGAGTACAGCAGGGCTTCTCTTTTATGTCCACAATGCCTAGGACTGCTTGATGCAGTAGGAAGGACGAGCAGGTTCCTTGGCCAGTGGGTTTACCTAAAGTACCTCTTGCCAGGGGCTTTAGGACACCAGGTAGCTGGGCAGGCTTCATGGGGCATTGGGTCCTGACCCGGCTGCTGTGCCATCTACAGAGTTGAGCAACGTTGAGTTCCACTGCGGGAGGGCTGAGGACCTGGTGCCCGCCCTAGTGAGCAGAATGGCCTCCCAGCAGCTTGTTGCCATCCTGGACCCACCCCGTGCTGGCCTGCGTGAGTGGCCTCCATTTGGAGGTGGTATGGAGAAGAGGGAAGTGATATCTGGGTGGTATACTGGGCTGTGCAGCCTCAGGCCTGATATCCCCATTCACTGGGCTCCAGTACCTTTCTTAAGGTACAGACCCTTAAGGACCCTCCCTTGAGGAATCTATCTCCGCAGATTCCAAAGTGATCCTCGCTGTCCGCAGAGCTGAGAACCTCAAGCGGCTTCTGTATGTCTCCTGCAACCCGTGGGCGGCCATGGGCAACTTTGTGGAGTGAGTATGAGGTGGGGGCCTGGGGTGGACTGGGGCAGCACCTAGCCCCACACCCGTAACAGGAACCCCATCCATATGGCTGACCTTGATTGCTCCCTTCCCACCACAGCCTCTGCCGGACCCCATCTAACAGAGTGAAGGGCACCCCCTTCCGGCCAGTCAAGGCTGTGGCCGTGGACCTGTTCCCGCAGACCCCACATTGCGAAATGGTCATCTTGTTCGAAAGGGTGGAGCACCCCAATGGCACAGGGATCCTGGAGCCCCAGAACCCTCCAGCTCAGCCCTTACCAGAGCCCCCAGATGATACCCAGACCCAGCAAGCAACTGTTGGGGCCTCCCCCTCTTCCTAGACCCCTGGAACAGTAGAGACCAGCCCTTCCAGAATAACAGCCAGTCTACATCACAGGGGCAGAAACCAAGGGGCTCCTGGAGTCTTTACCTCACCCCAAGATGCTCAGAGGCAGTAACAAACAGGGCACAAGACCTGGCTCTTCTGCCTAGGGCCAGCCTGTCCCTGTGGACCATGGATTCCTACATACTGTACCCGCACCTACTCCCCTCATTCTTTTGAACCAGATGAGCCACAAAGGCCAGAATAAACAATTACTGAACTTCTGTTTCTGTAATGAGAACTTAGAGCTTTGCCACACGGGGGTTCCTCTGCCTGACATTACAGGGTACAGAGCCAGAGCCAGGAGGGCACTCTGGGCAGTGCCTTGGGGATAAGTCTAAGTCTCTGGCTTTTGTTAGCACCTTGCCAGCTCTGGGCACAGCCAAGAATTGACCCATATGAGGCTAAGTGTTGAGACAGCTCTTCTAGCCCGTCTGCACCACACAAGTCACAGCAGGGCTTGCTGTTTGATAGAAAGCCTAGTTTTATGTTTAACCCAGAGGAAAAACATGAGATTCAGATCTCATGGCTGAGTGCCAAGTGTTTATGTGGGGGTGGAAAGCATGGCAAGGGGCTGGCCCTGGCTACCTAGCCCCTGACTTAACTGTACCAACTGAAAGGACCCTTGACCTCACTCCATCCCCAATTGGCCCTGAGCCCTAAAGGAAGGCCACATCCATGGTGACCAAGGAAGGGGCTGGGATGGGACACCACTCAGCTGCTACCAGAGCAGCTATGTCCAGGCAAATGCCCCAGCCTATTGGGGATTACGCCAGAGAGGTCCTGGCCAGTTGAGGGTCAAGGCCCCCAATCTCCCAGTTAGAAGAAACACCAATCAGAACCTTTTGGACAGTTTTGCTTTATGTGTCCAGACAATCAAGGCTCGCCATTACAGCCATGACCCAGCCGCCACCTGGGAGGTACATGATGCACTGAGGTGGCATCAGTACAGGCTCTCCCTGCCCACCACCCCCGCAGCACAGCTGTATGCACACAACATTCATACCCACACATGGGACAGAAGGACGTGGGGAAGCCGGCCACAGTGAGGCTCACCTGCTTCTAGTAACGTGTGCACAAAGCTTTGGTTCACAATGGTGCATCTGGCTGTTTTAAGGGCAAACAGTCACGGTCAAATGATTATTCACAGCTGCAGACAGGCAAGACAGAAGCAAGTATCTAATTACAGCAACTTGATTTGAGGATTTTGTTTTATAAAGGTCAACAAAGAAGCCAACCTTGGTCACACAGGTGGTAAAGGAGGGATACACTGTGGATGGCCCACAAGGCCAACATTGTCTTGAATCTTTGGTTCACAATGGTGCATCTGGCTGTTTTAAGGGCAAACAGTCACGGTCAAATGATTATTAGCTGCAGACAAGAAGCAAGAAAGAAAGTATCTAATTACAGCAACATGTTTTGAGGAGTTTGTTTTATAAAGGTCAACAAAGAAGCCAACCTTGGTCACACAGGTGGTAAAGGAGGGATACACTGTGGATGGCCCACAAGGCCAACATTGTCTTCCTGGAAACAAATGCCATCAACACCATCCATAAGGGATGTAGTAGAAGATGGGCACACCCGAGGAACATGACAATGCAAACCAGTGCTGGGCTCCTGCATCTGGCAGTATGCCATGAGCATGTGGTACCCTGAATAGGTGCTAGGGACAGGGAGCCAATGGTTGACCACTACTACCTTGCATGTGGAGACAACCCAGGACCCCAAGCACACCCAAATCCCCTGGGACTCAAGGCAGGGTCACATCTATCCTTGTACCTGTCCACAGGGGCCACCTGGAGAGCATAGGCTACTGGTCAGAGGAGCAAGCTGGTCACCAGGCCTGGATGCACAAGGCGGCTGCCTTTGAAATCCAGTGAAGTCACAGAACAGTTAGAGCTACCCTCCCATGTGCTTGCACCAGGTCTGGAGAGGAGTGCCAGTTTGTGATCAAGAATGGATTGCACTGAAGGTCCTTGTTTCCTCTTAAATAAATCCACATGCTAAAATGCATTGTTTATATCTGCTACATGATTCCAAATCTATCTTCTACTCACTGTAAAAGTTTCTTCCCAAATGCTAAAATATCTTAAAAGCTTTAAAAATTGAAGGGTGGACTGATGGAAATTGACTGTGCAAAAATCTTCAGTAAAAAACTGCTAGAGGCCAGCAAAGGTGAGGGGCCTCAGGGTCTAAGAAGGCGTGTTTTTTAGGGCATTAAGACTTACTCAGTAAAATGGACCACACCCCAGCCCAGGGCCAGGCCAACAAGCCAGGTGGAGACTCACACTGGCTAAAGAGCAATCACCTTGATGGTTTGCCTGCAATCTCTGAAAAATAGTTCTGATGCTAAAATTGTACTTATCTTAAACCAAAAAGGTCTGAAATACTCCTTCCTGTTTTAACATTTTCAGAGAAAAAGGGGAAACACAGGAAGCAGGAAAGGGAATGGGGTGCCAGCGTGCGCCTTCTGACTAGGTCCCTGCAGTGGCCCACAGGAGCCCTGGGTACAGGGCACCATAGGACTTGGCCATCATTTTCTCATTTCATCTGTCATCCAGCTATCATTTCTTGTCAGTGCATGTTATATACTAAAATTCATTAAAACCTTCATAAAACCAATCTGCAACAAGTTCACACAAGCAGAAGTCCACAGCTACCTCCAAGCTTGGCTTCCACTTGTGCAGGCAGGCTGAGTTGATGCTTGAACAAGTATACTCAGACCCGTGGGTGGCCCCCAAGGAAACAGTACATGGCCCTGGCTGTCCCCATGTACCGGAGAGCTCCCCCCCTCTGGCCCCAGCCCTCAGACATGGGGCCATAGGGGAAGAATTTAGATGGAAGGCGCAAGGCTGCAGAGAAGTGTGTGGTCTCCCTGGCAGTGGAGCTGGCAGTCCCCACACCCAGCCTGCCACTCCCTCACACATCCACAGTGCACAGAGGCTCGCCGCCAGGCTGGGCAGACGCCACAATAGACATCTTGGGCTTCTTCCGCGTCTCCTCCTGGAAGAACAATGAAGGTTAAGGATGCCAGTGAGGTGGGAACATGCAGCCCGATTTCAGGAGAGAGAGGCTCTGGTGGGGGATGGGCAGGTGGGTGGTGAGCCCAGCAGACTGGTGCCAGGCAACCTCTGGAGTAAGAGGGCACCCGTGCTTTGCAATGCCAGGCTGGAAAGAAGAGGGAAGGCCTGAGGGGGGAGGTGGGGGTGTTGGCAGAGCACCACATCCGCATGATGGTACTTCCCTGGGAATCAGGACACACACTCAGAAGTGAAGGGCCAAGATCACAGTTACCTAGGTGGGTCTCTCTCCCCACCCCTACCTAAGGGCAGAAGTGAGGGATCTCTTAGACTAGAAAGATTACAGAGACAACAGAGTTATACAGGCCCAAGCTGATACATAGCTGAAAGGGTCCAAGTCCAGAGGCCCCTTGCATGGGTGGTTTTAGGAAATTGCACAAGGACTGAGTCCTAACCAGGTTCAACTGTTCTGTAAACCACACTCCCCCCCTCACAGAACTGCCTAGGGCTCCAGGAGGAAGAGGTCCAGGATGGCAGCGTCACCCACAAGGACCCTGAATGAGGAGGGGCCTAGCCAGTGTACTGTTCCTCTCTCAAACGAAAAGCACTGAGAGGGTACCCAGAGTCAGAACACAAAAGACTGGACCCCACTACAGCCAGGGGTGCCAGATAAGTAAAAATAAGGTGATGTGGTGCAAGTATCATAAATTGCCAAAGCTCAAGGAAAAGCAAATCTAATCTAGAAGGATTAGGGCTTTTCAGGTGCCCAGGCACTGCCAAGGCCTCAGAAGCTAGTAACGGGTTCCCAAAGGATGGCTTTCTCCCTACAGCTACCACAATACGAGACAGCTTGGTGCCCCTCCCATCTTGGGGTAAGGAAATGGGAGAGCATGGAGGAGCCATGGCCCATGCTCACCCTCTCCTCCGCCAGCCTCTTCATCTCCTCCTGCAGCTTGCTCAGAATGTGCAGATTCGGCTTGTTCTTCTTGGCGTACTGCTGCAGCTCAATTACGCTCTTGTCTGATGTCTCCTGGGGGAGCAGTGCCTCACTCTCAGGACTGCCCCCCGGGGGTCAGGAACTAGAGCTGCATGACCCAACACTGGCTGCCCACCCTCAACCTGCACCTGGTGGGCTGATGCAGAAGCAGAGAACATGGTAGAGTCCACGCTGTCCCCACTGCTCCATCCTCAGCAGGCACAAAGCCACGACCTCCTCCCTTCACAGAGCAAAGGCACCCTAGCACCCAGCTGTCTCTGCTCCTGTCCAGGCACTACAGGGAAGCTAGACAGAGCCTTGGACACAGCCACTCGCCAGGGACTCACTGTGCCCAGAGCCCTCAGACTGGAGTGACACACCCTGGCTAGGAGGCCATCAGTCCCCAAAGCTAAGCTCTCTGCATACCCTAGACTTTCAGAGCAGGCTCAAACTGTTCTGAGGCCCTCCATCTCTCAGGACAATTGCTGTGCCTGGGGTGCCAGACTTCACTTCCCCTACAAAAGCTGCATGGTGGGCTGTGCCTGGGTCAGACCCCTCCAGCTTAGAAAGAATTCCCACCCACAAAGTGGGCTTTCAATCTTAGCCAGAGAGGATGCACAGAAGGCAGGCATATACGAAAGACAAGAGTAAGCTTCATCTGCATTGCATTCAAGTTTTCTCAATAAGACATATCCTGAGGTTCCTCTAAGTACCTTGGGGGACCCATCACCTCCCTCACACCACTGTCATGCCCGGATTGAGGGCTTTTTTTTGCCTCTTCAGGGATGGCCTAAGGATCCACACAGCATGGTCCTCAGTCACCACCTGCAGTCCCCATCCTCTACACCATCCCTCCACTTACTGGGATGTTGATAACCCAAACCATTTCTGTAAACATCAGAGGCAAAATCAAAAACATATACACTCACCTCCCAGTACTTCCCTCCACCCCACAAAGCACACGAACCTAAGGATATTGGTTTAAATCTCAATATCTTGGTAAAAGCAGCAGAATTAAAACAGACAACACATTCAGGATGACTGGTGTTTGTAGCCAGGAGAGCTGCCTCTGCATACTCGCTCTTAGCCACTGAGTGGCCTCAAATTAGCACAAGGGCTCCTGCCACTGGACTAATAACTCAGGGCAGGCAGCACTCACCATCTACACCATCTGATGCTCCAACTCCCTCCCCACATTGCCAGAGCCAGGCCCAGGCACTTGTGCATGGATGACCCCCACCCCAACAAAGTCACAGGCATAGCCCAGCAGAAAACCCAGGAGAGGTAGCCATGATTAAGAACAGAGCTACACAACCCTGTCCCCAGTGTCAGTGGGACACCACACATGTACTCCAGGGTTGGGAGAGGAGTCTTGTTACCTGTTTGACCATCTTGCTGCTTTCTCGGCCATACATGCGCAGTAAAGACCCCCAGTTCTTGACATGTGGGTGCAGCAGCTGCAGGATTTTCTGAGAGGCTAACTGCTTCCCAACTCTCTTATTCTTACCTGTAAAGAGGGAGAGGACATGCAGAGATAGAATCACAAACATCAAGATGTCCACATCATGGCCACCTCACCTAGACAGGAGCTCACCTGTCTGAAGGCACATTCTATAGGAAGGGGGAAGAGAAGTGCTCTGATACCACACTGGGCACCGGCATCTCACAACCTCAGGCCAGGGCCCACACGCTACCCCACTTCATAGAATAGCCCATCAGAAGCTCCAGGTCAGGATGTGAACAAAGTAAGTCACACAGCTTAAGAGGCCTCCCTCCTGCTACAACCCCATATTTTTAGATACACAGACAAGCAGCAATGAGGCGCCATGAAGCATGTGGCCTGGGGCTCCTTGGAGGCAGGCACGGGAGGAGGGCTCTATCAGAAAGCCCACAGGAGTTTCCAGTTTCCAGAGGGTGTGTGTATGCTTTGGCTAGAGTACAGGGTGGGTCTGGAAAACAGCAAGTGCCAGGTGGGAATTCTGGCTTGGTAGGCCAAAGCTAGCCACGTTTCCATATAGGGCCTCCCGGCTCAGAGGAGGGAGTCCCAACACCAGGATTCCTCCTCTGTCCCATGCCCCGCCTACCTACTCAGGAACATGTCCCAGTGGGACTGGTGTCTGCTGGAGCACAGGGCACACAGGGTCTGAATGTGGTTCTGCAATTTTCCCAGGGCCAACTTGTGCATTACCTTCCAATTTACACAGCACTGGCTTTGTGGTTATAGTAGTTATACCAAGTTTCTTTTAAAATAAAGTTATATTTTAAAAAGTGGTTACTTCAAACCCCAAATTAGGTAAAGAGCACAGGTAGTAGACACAGACCAGAAGGCAGAGGGGGCGGCACATGCCCAGCACAGGAACGCAGAGAGCAGCAGGGTGGAGATTCTGCTGCCACTCGAGTAGGATGACCTCCTCCCACCACAAGGACCAAGGGCTAGACAGGGGTAAAGATAAAAGGCCTAGCCAGAATGACCAGCCCAAGCCTGGGATAGGGAGGACAGAGGTGGTGCAGAAAAGACTATCACGGCTACAGGTGATCAGTGTACATGGCTGGAGCTTGGGAGTCAACAGCAGGGCAGTGGCCAAAGACCAAGCCACAGGGGCTCAAAACCCCCAGGGAGGCCAGAGAGGGGCATCAGCAGGGCAATACCCCTCAGTGGTCATCTGACAGCAGGGAGGAAGGGAAGTTCCTTACACCAGCCGCGCACTGTGTGCTTTCCGCACGCCATGACATATTCACTCTTCTGGTTTTTACCAGGAACCACTTCAAACTTGATGGATGTGTCACCCATTCCATGGTTTCTTTAAGAGAAAACAAAGACAATGGGTGACATCAGCTGAGGAGAAAACAGCTGCTTCCAGAAAGCTCTTTAAGAGTCCTCTGAAGACAATGTCAATTCTTCCCCAAACTGCTCAGCTGAAGAGGAAGAGGTTCTCCAAGTATACCTGTCCCAATCCCACAGGGCTCTGATGGACCACCAGGCAGAGGGGCTTCTGTGCACACAGGGTACACTTGCAATGGCTTGGCCTTTAGCATCGCCTCTTGAGCCAAGATAAACAGCCAATAAAAATGTTGGGCGCCCAGGGAGAAGCCCCCATCCTACCTTTTAAGGCACTCGTGGAGGATCTGATAGGGAGACAACAGTCCGGCCTTGCTGGTCAGCTCGTAGACCCTTGAGTCCTCGATACTGATGTGGTTAAAATACTACAAAACAAAGCAGCCACTTCTAAGTGCTGGACCATGCCCACCAGTCTCGCAGAGCTCTTCCCCATGCTGTCTGATTTTCCCAGAGGCTTCCTGTCCTTATTACCTCATGTAGCACATCACACACCCCCATGTCACTGTCCAGCTGGCCCTCTGAGACATGGACAAGGAGATGCATTGCACAAGGCTGAAGAGAGTGCTGCGAATGGGGTGGGAGACCCTGGTGCAGTGAGGGCCTGGGCTACACAGCCTGGGGAGCCTTTTCTGAATCTGAGCCTGATGACACAATTTGTCAGAAATCTAAAGATAAACGAAACTTCAGAGAAAAACTTGAAGATTATCTAAGTGAGATTATAAAAGAGAGAAAATTAACCAGACACAAAAGCTGTAGTCTAATAGGCCAATCTCCCTGAAGGCTGCAAAGGGTCTGGCCTGGCTCTAGTCTCAAATACAAAGTGATCCTGGCTCTAAAACCGATCCCTGTGACCAAAGAACAGAAAGGTTAAGAGTTAACAGGGATGGGGAAACTATGGATTAAAGGCTGGAAACTGCCAGTAGGTCTTGCAGACTACATACTCTTCTCCTTCCCCTTCCTCACTGTATGTCCATATCAAAGGAAATAGGAACTAAAGAATTATGTAAAAACTGAATTCCCTGAACACTCAGAGTCCCTCTCACTCTCTGCCTCTGAGAGGAGACAATGCTCTGTCTGTGGAGTGTTACCCATTTTCTAATAAGCTTTCCTTCTGACTCTTAAAAAAAAAAAAAAGAAGAAGAAGAAGAAGAGTTAACAGGAAATCACTTAACCAGTTAAGGGAAAAAAAGGAAGTTATGCACAAAAGAGAAACACCAGCTAGGAGGTGGCTCTGACCCCAACCACCCCCCAGTAAATGAGGATCCTGTCTAGTTAACTCAGGAACATGGTCCACATCCCCAGTGGAGACTATGTTAGAGTCCCAGGGATGTCATAACATAGTACTCAAATTGGGTGGCTTAAACAACAGAAATTTCTTTTCTCACAATTCTGGAGGCCAGAAGTCCAAAACCAATGTGTCCGCAGGGCCCTGTTCCCTCTAAAGCCTCTCAGAAAGGATCCTTCCTTGACTTTCCCAGCTTCTGGCAGCCCCAAGCTTTCCTTGGCTTTGTGGCAGAATCACTCCCATATCCACCTGGCCCTCTCTCCACCTCCCTCTCCCCTCTTCTTATAGGAACACATGAAACAGCTGCTCTGGGCAGAAAAGCAGGGGTTCCTCTCCCACCACCTGCTTCAGTAAGGAGGCAGGCTTACTATGACTGAGTCAGAGAAAGAAAGGCACTGTTTCTGAAGAGGATTGCTGATTCTGGTGAGCAGGAAATTCTCTTGCTATCATTTGGCTATTTGTCTTTCAACAGGTTCCCAAAGGACGCCTCCACTCCCAAGCACCCGCACCAGTGTGGATCAGTTTCCAGGCAAAGTTACTCACCAAGATGTCATACCCTGGACCAGTCCTCAATGGCTGGCCAGGCAGCCCACCCATCAGTAGTGTCTGGTTTTCTCATCTAGCCTGTAAAGACCCACTCTCTAGCCAACATTCAGCACTTGGGCTATAGACTCGTAATCAGGCCAAGAAGGTGTAAAACAACCTGCATACCCTGTAACACCAGGTTTCTCCTGGATAGAGCTGAGGTCAACACAAACATTCTCACACTTGCGCTCTGTCTCTCTCTCTCCCTCTACCCCAACTCAGAAGCTCCGAAACACCCAACAGCCTCTGGTAAAGGCCCATACCACAATTACCTGTACCAAGTGGCCACAGCCACGTGTTGCCGATGAGAGAGAACTGACCCACTGACAACAGCACAAGAGAGCCTGGGTGATCAGTACCCCACAGACAGTGAAGATCATAAGGGAGCACCACAGACAGCCCAATATCCATAAATTCAAAAATTTAGATAAAACAGACCAATTCCTAAAAAAACACAATCTGAATTGCCTTATTCTATTCAATAAATTCAAGTTGTAGTTAAAAACTTTCCTGCAAAGAAAACTCCAGGTGCAGATGGCTTCATTATGATTACCAAACATTTAAGGAAAAAATGACACCGATTCTACAGACTCTTTTAAAAAAATCTCAAGAGGGAAAATTGCCAACTCATTTTATGATGCTAGCAGTACTCTGATATCAACACCATAACAAGAAAGTATAAAAAAACTACGAACTAAAGTCCCTCACAATCCAAGTGTAAAAATCCCAAACAGTATTAGTAAATTGAAACCATTAACACATAAAAAGGAACATATACCATGCCCAAATAAGCCTTATCCCAGGAATGTATTTTAAAAAATCAATCAACAACTCACTATATTAACAAAGAAAAACTTTATGATAATGTTAATAGAGAACGGGCATTTGATAAAATCAAACACCTATTCATGATAAAAACACTCGACAAAAAAGGAAGAGACTTTCCTCAACCTGATAAAATCATCTGACAGCTAACATCATACTCAACAGCAAGAGATTGGATGCTTCTCCCTAAGATGAGAAACAAGGCAAGGATGTCCACACACTCTGCTGCTACTCAGCATTGTCCTAGGGGTTCTAGCTGGAACAATAAAGCTAAATAAATAAATAGATAGATAGATAGATAGATAGATAGACAGACAGACAGATAGATAGACAGATAGACAGACAGACAGACAGTATCTGGATTGGGAAGGAAAAAGTCCAACCATCTTTTTTTTTTTAATTTATTTATTTTAATTAGTTTCAAGTATACAGTACATTGGTTAGACATCTACATAGTTCATAAAATGATCCTTCCAATTGCTCCCTTCCTCCCCTAGCCCTCCACCTAGCCAACATATTAATGCTAACTACATTCCCTATGCATGCTCCCCATCCTGTAACCATCTATCAACTACTAATTTGTACTTCTTTAACCCTTCATTCCTTTCTCCCAGACCTCCAAGTCCCCTCCCCTCTGTCACCAAATTGTCCACTATATTTGTAAGTCTGTTTTTGATTAGTTTGTTCTTTTTGTTCCTTAGATTCCGCATGTAAGTGAAATCATATGGTACTTAACTTTCTTGTTCTCACTTATTTCACTCAGCATAATAACCTCTAGGTCCATCTATGTCGTTGCAAATGGTAGAATTTCATTTTTTTTTTAAATGGCTGAGTAATATTCCATTGTATATATGAACCATAATTTCTTTATGCAATCGTCTGTTGATGGGCATTTAGGTTATTCTATATCTTGGCTATTGTAAATTGTGCCGCCAAAAATACTGGGGTGCATAGATCTTTACGAATTATTGTTTTGGTTTTCTTTGGATAAATACCCAGAAGTGTAATTGCTGGGTCAAAAGGTATATCCATTTTTAATTTTTTGAGAAGCCTCCATATGTTTCCCATAGTGGCTGTACCAATTTGCAATCCCACCAACAATGTATGAGGGTTCCCTTTTCTCTGCATCCTCTCCAACACTTGTTTTTTGATTTACTGATGATAGCCATTCTGATAGGTGATACAACCATCTTTAATCACAGTCAATCTTATCCTGTACATAGAAATCCCAAAGATAACTATAGAAAAACTACTAGTATTTCACAAAGCCACAGAATACAAGTTCGATATACGAACAGTAAATTGCATCTCTGTATATAATCAAGTCAGAATTGAAACTAAAATACTACTCACACAACGAAAACACATGTAATACGTAATCTAAATCTAATAAAGTATGTGTGGGATCTGTGTGCTGAAAACGACCAAACACCAATAAAAGATATCAAAGACCTCAATAAATAGAGATAGTTTGAGAATTAAAAGATTCAATATTGATAGCATGTCAATTCTCTCCCAATTTATCTATAGGTTTAACATAGTTTTTCAATCAAAATCTCAGGATTTTTTGTAGATACTGACATATTTCTAAATTCTATATGGAAAGGTAAAGGAGTAAGAATAACCAAAAAGTGTTTTTTGAAAAAGAGGAACAAAATTAGAGAATTCACACTATGTGATTTCAAGACTTCCAAGTTATCAAAATGGTGTGGAATTGGTAGAAAAAACACACAGATCAAGGGGACAAAACAGAGTCCAGAGTCAGACCCACACATACATGATCACCTGATAAAGGTGCAAAGGCAATTCCAGTTAAACATATACCTACCATATGGCCCAGCAAGCCCTTCCTAGGTGGTTACCAGCGCTCATATGGACAGCCTCACAGCAGCCTATTGCTAATCACCCAAAACTGGGAACATACCCAGTGAACCTCAAATGAAGAGAGCACACCTACATGGCCCTGCAGTGGGCACTATTGAGCAGTAAAAACCAGCCATCGACGCAGGCACCCGTGCGGATGATCCCACATGTATCTTGTGCAGTTGGAGCCTGGTTCAAAGGCTGCCTATCCCATGACCCCACTGATACGACATTCTAGAACTGGCTAATCTAGAGAGACAGTTAAGTGCCTACCAGGGGATACAGGTGGGGGTAATTTTGGCTACAAAGAGAAGAGTTCAAGAGAATTGGGAAGGGAAGACCATTTGAAAATGGTACTGATAGGCTATAGCCATACCACCCTGAATGTACCCGATCTCGTCTGAAAATGGTCTTGATTGTATTATTGGTTATATGACAAAATTATGCATTTGTCAAAACTCATAGAACTGTACCAAAAAGTGAATTTAACTCCATGTAAATTTAAAAAATAAACTGGAAATAAAAAACAAAAAACTGGTCACTAATGCCTAAATACTAGAATATCTATGCACCAACGAACCCACAACTACCTAAAAAGCAATAAAATACCAAGAAATCACTTCAGGCCTTATGAAAGGAAACAGTGCCTATTCTGGTCACCTGTTTTCCCTTTTTAATCAATACCAAAGTTGCTTTGCTGAGACTCTGCTTCCTTCCAAGACAGCTCTTATTCTGGGTGTTCTGCACCTGTGCCACTTCACACATGGACCTTGTGCCACTGCACTTCGCAGACAGCAGCCTGCAGCA